TGATAATTGCTGGCCATTGATTTGATTAAATAAAAATAATTTAAATTATCAATAAGACCACAAAATATTGATAAAATAAACTACATTAATTTTAAGATGTTCAATGAGAGAAGAAAAAAAAAAAGAATTGTATTTCAATTTTTCATTACTGATTAAAAAACAAAATGTCCTAACCGTTGAAAAATTATATATACTTTTCTATCGGTCTAGAATAAATCTAAATTCTCGTTATGTGTTAAATCATAATTCTTTTTCAAAGAAATTTGTAAGTGCATAGATAAATGAAATAAAATTTCTTAATCGGTAATTAACGAATCGTCCTTGTTTGACATCAACATAAATTTCAAATATTGAAAACATAGAAAGAATTATTAATTATCAACTTTTTTGCCCGCTTAATTCGTAAATTGTTTATGAGAAAGGATGCAGATGGATCTATTATATAACATAGCAACTAAATTACTAATGTTGTGTGTGAAATTCGTATATAGTCCTCTACAAAGACATTGATAAAATAATACAGCAGAATAATATACAAAAAATACAAAATTAATGAATGTTAACTAAATAACTTATTTTTTTTAATTTATATCTGTACACAGACCCTGATGTAATAAATGTCTTCATTTTTCGCAGGAAATTACAATAATGTTGGTCTTACATGCATACTTGCACGTATATTTAATTTAGCCATTTTGTACACAAAGACCAATGCTGGCTCTAAATAAAGAAAAGTATATGATATTTATATAACATGATTTTTCCCCCTAAGAACAACGTCTTCTGAAGAACTGCATGCTAAAACAATTCGTTGAAGAAAAAAGAACAATAATTTATTAATTGTTTTACACGTAGATGCTTAGCGAAAACTTTAATATTTTTAAATCGTGTATTGTGTTAAACAGAAGGTTATCCCTTTCAAATTTAAGCCCCTCCCCTCCTTCAAAAAATGGAGAGAAAATAGTTTCTTTCGATATTTAGGTATAATATACTGATGTGGTGATTGTCAATACTACTACATGTACAAACATTTCTTTATATATGCCGTCCATTTCTTGATTTTTATACCCCTACATGTACCATTACTTACTTTAAAAAAAACTGCACTTAAATCTGTCTACTCAAACCACAGGCCTGTATTAAAGTTATTTCAGTTTGGGGCACAAACTTTACCAGAAAGTTCTTAACTAGCAAACCTTACCAGAAATTACCAGAAAAAAGTTATATATGAAAGATACAGGGCGGTACTGACTGAACGGCTAAAGCCACGTATATATATACAGCCCTGCACATCAACGAGTATACACCGGGCATTATTTTTCAACAAATCAGATGATCAAATATTGACAAATTGTTACCAGTCACAAATAAAATTCTGAACGCAATGGACATGATTGTAGGTTACCTACAATAATTCTAAGCTTATTTTAATTATGTGTTTCAGGTCAGTAGAAACAGTTTCAAAAGTGGAGGGAGGGGGGCTTCAAAAAAAAATCTGACAAGCCAAAAAAAAAATAATTAAGAAGAGCATAACCATTCACTTTCACCCCTGCCCCCCCCCCTTTTTTTCTACGGGCCGGTGTTTTCCAAATTAAAATACTGTTTTCCCTACCTTTGCTTAGATATTGGCTCGTTTTTTTCACCTTATGTTTTCTCTCCTTTTTTTATAAATCAATATTAAAATTTGATGTGAACAGTTCTGATACGTTAAAACGGTGTGAGAATTATTTTTAACTAAAGGCAAAGATGTTTGAAGTCAAATACAACAAATAGAAAACATGTCCAGCAATTTTGTCCATTGATTATTATTGATATCAGGCTAAAAATCGAAACCAAAATAGGAGGGGGTTCAATAAAGTATCTAAAGCCGAACAAGAGGGAAAAAAAATCAATTTTTTTTATTCTTGAACCGTCCTTGCTGGTAATTAATTTATTTATTTTGTCTTGATTTTCACAAGTGTATACTAGTCTAACATACCCTAGGCCTGATTCCTTCTACTAACTAGCAATTTTTGACACTGAACTTTTCCATCATCACTAAAAATAAAATACTGTTCTGTATACATTTCATATAGTTCATTTGCATGCCAAATGCCCATCGAAATTTACGGCAGACTTCAAAGGACAAGATTCTTGTCACAAAATAATAAACAGCTGATAAAGAGTCATCATACGTTTATTTTGAGGGGCGCAGCAGGAAATAAGCTTCGTTTTCTGTGCTGCAAAAAATATGTTTAGGGACGTATTGCACGTCCACTGTGCCCCCCCCCCCCATTTTCTACGGTCCTCAACTAATATTCATTTTTCTGACGCTTCAAATTTTAAAACATGTATAAAGGTTTAACATCTTTTTTTAGTTGTGACATTATACATGAATCAGAATAATGAGTAATTTAATGAGAAAGTAGTGGGGGGGGGGATAACCGGACATTTTCTGTTTGGATGGGCACTACATCCCCCCTCCCCCCCATCAAATAAGTTGAGGGGTCACACCAGAAACATGAAATGTCTCTGGTCACCCTCAGAAAAACGCTTTGTTTATAAAGACAAACATATATCCGGTTTGAATACATGTGTTCTCGGATCGTCAACTTGTTCAAGTTGTTGTACTTTTGGACTTCTGGAACTTTTTATGATGTAACGAAAAGGTAAAAATGAATTATTTCTGCTACTAAATTACGATTAAGTCATCAATATTTAAACAAAAAGTGTCCGCAATCTCAACTCAAGATTATTCACGAAGGACATCATCATCGATGGAAATTCAAAAGAGAGAGTTCTGACTATTGTAAGCCGCCTTTATTTGGCAGATAAAATTAGAAATTATGAAGAATCATCAGAACAATTTAAATAGATTGTCTGTAACTACAGTACATATACATCTTACAAAGTCATAGCACAACCCTTATTCATATGCATAATGTAATATGTACATGATGTATAGGGAAAATGTATTGGTTTTAATGTACTGTATATTATAATATAACAACTGTTTAACAAACAAGTGATAGATTGTAAATTGAAATAGTTAAGTGTTCAAAAGACAAAATTTCTCATGTGTGACCTGCTGAGAGATTTACTGAAAATGTTAAAAATAATAAGCCTACAAGATGTACAAATATTGATCATTTTTGATAGTATTTCAAGTAATGCAAATGAATCATCTGAGTAACAATCATCAGTTATTGATGGTGGTCGCAACATCATACAAGTCTAACAGGGTTCTCCATATTTGAAAATTTAACCATGGAGGAAGCTGCGCGAAGGTTAGATAGAATGTTATATCGTTAAAATGATAAATGTCCTACGGACCCGGTTTAACGATAGAATGCCTTCCGTGTATTGTCAATGAAGCAAAGAAAATAGGGGAGATAACTCTAACTCAGTGCGTTTACTAAGAAAAATCCCGAGAGTTCCGAATGTCAACCTGGTGTGTAAATTTGAAATGAGTAAAAAACGTTGATGAAAAAGTGTTGAATTCTTCCATTATATGGATTAAATTTTTAGATGAAAGGTATTTGCAGTCTCAAAAAGGTTTGTTATGATTAATTTGACTTATTTTCAGTGCAACTTCATTAATTTTCTCCAAAATCGTTTCGGAGCGATTCTGCAATTTTCTGCTACATTACGGGTATATGGGAGGCATTCTAACTGTGGTGAGGGCCTGTCCCGAGACACAGTTAGATTATTCTAACTACGCGAAGGTGAAATGTGAAAAACGAATGTGTGTTAGACTTCCTAACCTTCATTAATCAATGATTGGTTTCACAAAACTTATAACCACTGCAACACAAAAAGTGTATCAAAATTGGCCCAAAACTATAGGAACATCAGCAAAGCCACAATTAGTTTTATTGATATGGAATCATCTTCAGGTAGTGTAGATGGAAGTTTGTTCAAATCATGACCCCCAGGGGTAGGGTGGGGCCACAATGGGCGAATTATGCTTTTTCCTACCCAAAGTGCTCAGGTGAGCAATGTGGCCCCTGGGACTCTTGTTTATTGTTGGTCTTATAAGTGAAATCGGAATGCAATAGTAACTGTACATAATATATTCTTTCAGAGAGAAGAAAATGGAATGTTGAACTACCAGCTGCAAACTACAACAGGATAGGCATAATAAAAAAATATGTTTATTTACGGTTACCCGACCGACCCTATATGTAATAGCCAACCCAAATTTTTTTCGTCGTAAAAATCCAGAAGCCACTCATTCGTCGGTTTAACTTTTACATGCATCTTAATCGGTCAAGCATTTGAAATCAAAAGGACTAGAAATAGCTAGTGCAACATGGAATTAAAGAAATACAAGACAATTTTTTCATTCTGTGGTAGCTGTAAGGCAGTTGGCAAGAAAGATATTGTCTATCGCCCATATGGCAAGCACAAACAAAAGTAAAGCACCACACAATGGTAAAACTGTTTTGTATTTCAACCAATTCCTGTGAATTTGTGTATAAAAAAATTCAATAAAATAAAAAAAAAATCCTACCTACCGACCCTATTTTATTCCAGCATGTAACAGTAAACAAACATATTTTTTTTGTTTGGCCTAATATGAAATAGTATGGCTTGGAGTCTTTTTCACTTCTCTATAAATTTTTTTGTTTGGATGATATCTAGTATAATATACACCATGCAGTGAGGATTTTAGTTCACCCGAGCCTAAAACTCAAGTGAACTTTTCTGATCACCTTTTGTTTTGTCTTTTGTCCATCAAACTGTCTATCCATCTGTGAGCTTTTCACATTTTCAACTTCTTCTTAAGAACCACTAATTTCAACCAAGGTTGACACAAAGTAAGGATATTTTGAATTGTACAGAGGAAGCCCCCCCCTCTCCCCCCTTCACCCCAAGGGGAAATATCTTTTAGATATTATTGATATGATCATTGTTGAGCAACTTATAATTTTGTTACCTGTAGACTTTATTTTAAGAATAATGAATATTTGTTTAAGAGTCGTTTTTAAGGGTCTTCCTGGGATGCTATCTCCATTTACGTATATCCCTACATCCGTTACACCGAAATGCTCGAAATTAAACGGATTGGTTGTGTAATCCCCGTTTACAGCTTTCTGATCTACCAAACCTACAATGATACGGTCGGGTACTGCCTGAGGAAAAATGTTGTCCCAGTAAAATTCAGTAGATCCTTTAGGAATGGTGTTCATTTTCAATTCATTTCTTGAGATGGTGTATTTCACAGGAGTACTTTCTATCTGTTTGCTGTGGTTCAATAGAACACCAGGATCTACTCTCACTTTGGCCACTTTGTACACGACATCTAGTAATTCCAGTTTGTATGCCGGGGTTCTCTGTGCCGACATCATTACAAAAGGTGCACTAGATCTAAAAAGCTTGATGTAGATATCTACGCCGTTGATCAGGTATTTGTCGATGTCAAAAATATCTTCCATCAGGTTACCCTCCAGTTCAAATACTTTACTTTCCTGTGTAAAACCATAACGCAGGACTAGTCCAGCATTGCCACCATAGTAGGCGTTAGCGTCACCCAAATTTCCTTCGTCCTTAAAAAACAACTGGGACTACTTCTGGGAAGATAATTCCTCTTTTCCACCAAACAAGACTGTTTTCAGGTATGCCTTCCAAGGGTAATAACTGGTATTAAAGGAAACCAACTTGTTATTTAAGTAGACATCCATCTGAGAAAACATGCTCTGCAATGGTAGATTCACAATTCCAGTCTTCTCGTTGGCCGCTAATGAGGAACCATCCGCTTTCAAAATTCTGCCTTTCACATACAATCGACTTTTTAAATCGATATATTCCGCTCCCGATCCAGATACGACTATTTCTATAGGGGTATCTGACACTCCAATACTAGAAATTGGTCTAGCTTCCGTAAAATACACTTTTTCGACTGCAACTTGATTAGTGGGTGAAGCAAAGAGAGAAAGTTCCATTGGTTGGGCTATGTCTTTATTATCCCTGCTTAAGAAGGCCATTTTACTGCTGAAAAACGTTCTTGTAATTATCGATCTTAAAGAGTTTTTTTGGCTTTTGTGATGACCTTTTTCCACTAGGTGTATGTCGTTTTTTAGATCTTCCGTTTGTTTTCTTTCTGGAGACTGATGTTTTCTTTACAGGATTGGTTTTCTTGCTTTTCTTCCTCTTGTCTCATCTTGACGTCTTCAATGTTTTGGTAGGAATGACAGAGGAGTGCTGTGATGGTCTTTTTATACCCTTCGTGACCTTGACAAAGGGAACACCTTCTTTTACGTCTTTTACATGTTCCATTTTGGCTCTCTCTTCCACGGCAGCCACGGGTGTCACTTGAGCTTTAGGGTTCACGGATTCTAACTGTGAATGAGGTCTAATGGGAATGATGTAAGATTTTCGTTTTCTCGTACCCCTTCCAATTTGTTTGGGTTTATATTTGTACGGGTTGAATTTTTTCTCAGCCATGATTTTGTAAAAAGCTTCCCAGAGTCTAGGGTCACTGATGTACGTCTGACTATTCATCATAAAACGTAAGGAAACTTTTTAAAGTGAAGTGTAGCGCTCACCGGTCCGTCTAAGAATGACACTAAGTTGCCTGCTCTATCCGTTATATATATACAGATCTGTTGTAATTGACCAATCTTTACGGGAAGGTAATAAGGTAACGTGTAGATGATGTTGTTTTCCTGTTTTTCTCCAAGAAAAACTCGTCGTAAGAGGGGTACGTCCTTGCCACCAACATAGGTTTCCTCACGTATGTCACAACATATATACACCTCGGGAGTTTTTTTCGCTGGATCCCAGCTCTCTGTAGTAAACTCTGTTAAAGCAACTGTCCAGTATCCATCCAGCTGAATTTGTTTATTCAACTGAATTCGAAAGCAATTGGGTTTATTGTCAAAGTATTCGGAGCTGCCTGTAAACCTCAACACCATTTGAAGGCTCATCTTGACTGATGATGATTCGTTGAAGAAAACTGTTTTTATTTGGTGTTTTCTAGAGAACTTTCGGGAATCCACGAATTGAATTTACTGGGCCATCCGTCCCATTTTACGTACACTTCCTTTGTATTACCGCGTTTTCCCTTTTTCAACACCTTTTCCACTCTATACAGAATATCTCCCGACTTAACAACTTTTTGAAGTTCCGATTCATAGAAAGTGCCTTCTATTGGATCATCGGCTAAATCCTTTATTTTGTACACAGGTATACCAGTTCTCTTGTATCGATTAGACACTTTAAAATACTCTTCAGTCCATTTTTGCTGGTAGTCTCTTTGAAATGGATGTTTTAGCTGTGAAATACATACGTCATCACCTATTTTGTACTTAAAAATTGGTTTAGTCCTTTTCTTTTTATTAAATGTTTTGATTTTTTTTCCAGCTTGCTCACAGGATTCTTTTTTCTTTGTACTGTGATAGGAGATAGGAAATGAGTCTCACTTCATCTTCATTTTCCTTGGTGACAGTTGCAGGGGCTCGCTTTCCTAAAGATCTGTGAGGTCTCTGGTTATAACTAGTCACTAAATCTTGTAAAACATTGACATAACGATAGGCTCTGTTCTTGAGAAAATAACGATACATCAGATTTTTCATGGTACGGATGACTCTTTCTGCATAATTTGCTTTCGTTTCGTCCTGGGTGTATATGGTATGGACGCCTTTTTTTAAAAAACGTCTTTTCCCAACGATTTTTGAATTCGCTCCCCTTATCTGTTCTGAGAGTATCCGGTTTTCGTCCACTATGAAAAACCGATTTTAAACCATCTGTGACATTCTGATGCTGCTTATTTTTCAAAGGTACAATGAACAAAAATCTACTGAAAATGTCTATTATTACTAACAAAAATTTATAACCATCATTTTCGGACGAAATGTTACTAATGTGGTACGAAACAACTTGGAACGACATGATAATATATGAGTTTGCTACCTACGACTGGCTTTCCTTATCCCTCGTGGTTTGCGAGCCCCTGTATTGGCCTGTAGCTGAGCTCACAGACTTATAGGTCACTACAACTGGTGTCAGAAGTGACCGATACTACGCCCAGTTTAAAAATATACATATCCTTCTCTTATTTTAATTAGCGTAGGACAATAGGTTCGAGGAAACTCGGACGTTCCCGCGTTTTTGTCAAACTTGGTTTCTCGCAGTATAGGAGAAGGTAATTTACCAAGTGTGACTATATTATTACGCTACTGTATAACAATCATTTTTCATTCTTATTTCTATCCGTTTAGCGTCGGTGTGAATTATTTTTGGGTTTGTAAGCTTTGGTACGGTAACCCATAACTGTCACAATTCGAAATTGCATTTTAAGTTAAAGAAAGATATTTTTGCGATATCATTCAAGCATTGGTATTTTGGAATTTTTCGGTTGAATTACTTATTCCATACATCATTTTTTTGGTATTCAAACTTTCAATCTTAATACATTCATAAAGCATATCATCTTGTTTCATGTCACTGTCTGGACCAAAAATACAAGCCTTTCTTAGCAAGCCACCAACAACTCCTCAAGGGTCACTGTGTGAAACACCAATTCTTTTGTCAGACAGCAAAGGTTTTGCACTTAAAAATAAGACTTCTTTGAAATTTGTTGAGTTTTGGTGCCAAAGTGGCCTGCAAACAGAAAAAGCTATAGATCAACTGGAACATAGATTGGAGTCCAGAGAGTTTGGTTCAGCATTGATTTATATTTGGCTTGGAATTTGTGATATTACCAGAAAAGAAGGGAAAATTACTCAAGTCCGTTGCTGGGACAATACCGTGGTAGACACCATTACCGCACAATACAGAAGAGCAATAACCATTGTATCCAAGTTCCGGAATATACAAGTGAAATTCATCGAAATACCGTGCTACTCAATCGTGCCATATAATCAACACAAAGGTCATACCAATCCCGACATATTCAAAAGCCAAGATGTTGAAATTTGCAGGCAAGTGGAAGCTCTAAATGCAAATATTCGTGCAATAAATTCAGAAATTGAACAAGCTACTTTGCGATTTAATAAGGACATAACCCGCAGAGGCAAGGACTCAGACAATCGCAAGAAGAAGAACAACGGTGTAAGAATTTCTTACAAATTTTCTTTTTTTTTTATGACGGCATCCATCCAGGTACAGAATTAGCCTTGATCTAGAGCAGAAGATTGACTGAGGACATTAACAAAAGTTGTTTCAGAGTTTTACCAGAATACATTTTGGACATACAAGTATCTGAGGAAGATTTAAAATCAATAGAATAATGCCTGCTATAAATTTGAATACCACATCTTTTGAGGACCTACTTGAACTCGAAGGAATTGGTCAGCACAGAGCCACAGCCATCCTTAAATTACGAGAGGAAAAGGGCTTCATAACAGAGGATGACATTCACCAATTCCTTCAGGGAACCTCTAGTACCATCAGAACTCTAATGGATGAGGAAAAAGTTTCTCTAGACACACCACCACAGTTACTTCAGGCACTTAAAAGGGAATGGGATGACCGAATGGAAAAAATGTCAAACGATTTTAAGGAACAAATGAAAGCTTCGCAAGAACACTATAAACTCATGCAAACGCAGTTTGAGGAAAACCTGAGAAAAACATATGAAGAAAAGCTACTGAAAATAAATGAAAGTGCTGTCGGTAATTTGGCTCCACATGGAGTTTATGGTGGTGGTAACCCATGGATGAAATCTAAAATTGACATCAAAAAAGAAAACACCTCATTACCTAGTGACAGTGCTACTGCTAATTGTGGCTGGCTTTCGTCTGGCCCGACCAGTGGTAACGCTGCTGCTAAGGTAAGTACAGATGGAAATACACAAAAAGTTAAAAGTGGACAGAAGCCCAGCATCATGACTAGTTATCAAACTATGGGTCCTCCCCCACCAAAGATGGCTACCTTTGACGGAAAATCAGAATGGAATCCATACATTGTACAATTCAACATGATAGCAACCAGATACAACTGGAACAATGAACAACGACTTGAACGCCTCGTTGAATCCTTACGTGATAAAGCATTAAAGTATTACTGCACTTGTTCAGCCCAAGTACAGAGCAGTTTCTCATCTCTTTGTGCAAAGATGAAATCAAGATTTGGCCAACGAGATCTTCCTCACACAATTAAGAGAAATCTCCAGGACATCAAGCAAGGTGACCAGTCAGTTGATGAATTTGCGGAAAAAATCCAGGAGATGGTGAGTGAAGGTTACCCACAGGCCCCCGACTGTGTAAAAGAAACAATAGCCACTGACACTTTCCTTAAGGGCCTCGAAAATAAAAGAGCGGCACTTACAACCATGGACAAAGATCCTCCTGACCTTGAGACTGCTCTACAATTGGTTAAAGCTGCACTCAATAATCAGAGATTAATTTTAGGTGCGAAGAAGCCGGAGGTGAGGAAAGTTCATTTTGAAGAGGATGATATAGATAGTGACATGGGTTTGTTGAATGAATTTGAAGTTAAACCAATACGACCACAAAGCAAAGTAGACAAACTTTCAGAAGAAATAGCGCAACTCAAAAGTGGGCTGGAGGCGACCAATGCTAAAGTGGATAAAATCATCACCCTAATGAATAAACAACTTGCCACAAGGTCACAATCTCCACCACGGAAAACAGACAGTATTTACAACTCTTCTGCACCCAAGACAACACAGTGTTACAATTGTGGACAACCAGGTCACTTTGCTAGAGAATGCCAAAGGCCACACAGGTCCCGCTCCCCCTCACCTAGATCACCGAGGAGAGAAACCAGGGCTAGTCCAAGCAGGTACGACATTCGGGTGTATGACAACAGCCAAACTCATCCATATAACTTGATGCTAGCCATCTCTATTAACGGAAAACCTGTTCAAGCTATTGTTGATACTGCAGCCCAGATAAATGTTATCAGCCGAGCTTTTGCCGACACCTTCACCCCACCCTTAGTTCGTGGAGAACAAGTAACCATGAAGGGTGCAGGAAATTATGATTTCATTGAGGCCAATTACTGTAATCTGATCCTGTCA